ACTGGTAAGAAGTCTTCCTTTGGAAAAATAATTATTTAGTTCTTCTTAATTATATCAAAAAATAGTAGTTTTTATTTTACCATCAAATTTAGTGATACATTTTGGCAGAGTAAAAAGAGAGAAATCAGGACCAGAAAAGAATAAATTTAAACAAATACAAAAGAGGCAGAGTTTCTTTTAGAAGTTTCAAGCTTTTTGAATTGCTAAATCTGCCTGGCTATTCATGTTCTTGTGACAGAGCCAAGTTAGACAGAGACTTAGAAACACACTGATAACGCACGCGCTGTTTAAAGCTGAGGAAAGCACATCTCAACTTTCAAAGGAATTAAGTAATTTCCCAGAAACAGATGGTCTTATCCAAATGGGTGACTGTCCTAACTATGGGCCTGTGCCTTCTCTCTCTCTCTCTCTCTCTCTCTCTCTCTCTCTCTCTCTCTCTCTCTCTCTCTCTCTCTCTCTCTCTTTCCTTTTTCATGTCACTTTCTCTTAAACTCACTGAGGCAATAGGCCAGAACCAAGTAATCTCTCTTGAAAATCAAGAAATGTCAGTAAACCAAAGAATAAACTGAGTAACATCCCATGGCTTGTCCTATTTGAGCACCAACATTTGTAGAGAACCAACAACGAAGTTTTAATGAACATTACTGTCTCTGCTGTTTTCAGGAGCTGGTCTCTGTGTCATAGGAACCCTCAGGAAAGTAACTGCCTGATTTGTCTTGGTATAATATCTGTAACACCATGGTGGGCATAGAGTATGTACCACATGACTATCTTCTAAAATAATGAATTGGTATTTCCCTTTACAAAAAAAATAATAATAATGAACAAACTTGCTTTTGCTCTGCAATGGAATGCTATTAGTGGTACTGAAGAAAATGGAGAACTAGATTCACTACATAGTTTTCCCCTTAGTATCCACTATGAAAAATGCTTGTAAATCCTTGATTTACAGTTGAAAGTCTCCTATAAAGCAATCTTTTCTAAAATTGTGAAATATGGTTGCATGTGTTCTCAATTCCACTAATCCATTTCTACACCCCTTTTCCTGTTTCTTCACCCCTACTCTACTCCCTTTCTGTATACATGGGGCTTGATCTTTTCTTTCCAAATAGTCCCCAGAATTAGTGTCCCTCCTTAATCATGAGGCTGATGTTCATGTTCATATGATCTCCTTTTACCTCTAGCTAGCAACCTTTCATAGACCACAGATGTTGAGGTTAAATGTGAGTCCAAATCCTCATGTCTGTTTAATAGTGGTTTGGATGGGAAGGAAGGCCAGTAGGCAGAGGTCTGGCACCCTTAGAACAACAAAGACATTTTATTGGGTATTCTTCTTCAATCTTAATACAGTTTTATTTTAACCTGATAATCATGTAGCATTAGAAACAAAATGACAAGGTGCCCATTAAACATGTAGTGCTTTGTTTTAAAGTTTTATTCCAGCATTCTTATTGTTGATTTAACTCAAAATGGTGAAGGGTCACATGAATGCCATACACACTTCCAAGATTCATAGAAGAATTTTTTTTTAAGAAGAGGATGTTATTGGAGCCTCCATTACATGAAGTAGATGCCATGGAAAAGGCCTGGGCTTTGTGGTCAGTAAGCCCAAATTCTTTCTCCTCCCAGGATTCTTTTGATTTGGTTAAAATGAGGATTCAATGACCCAAAATATATTTAGGTAGCATAGAACAATATAATAAACTAGATTTTCTGAAAAGAAATACTACTTCATTAAAAGCAACAAATGCATTTTTAATGCCTTGCTGAGCTCCAGGAAATTAAAAAGAATCCTAACCTTTTTTTGACAATTTTTTTTCAGAGGGAGGGTGAGATGAAGATAGTGAGCCATAAACCAATATTATAATTATATTGGGGAAAAATAAGTGAGTTGTTTTAAAAAAGAAGGGATATTTTAAGTCTTGAGCCCTTGAAAAGTGAAGATGTTTGACATGAGACTCTGATATTATGCTTTAGTGAAAAGTGAACGAGGAGAAAAAAAGAAGAAAACACCTAATAGCATAGGGAATAAGCAGAAAAATCTGTTCACCTCTAATGTGGCTCTGAATTAAAATAAAACAAAGAAACCAGCAAAACAAAACAGTAAGAAAAATAACAATATGACATATTATGATATTGATGCAAACAGCATTTCTGCTAAGACTTCAACAAGAGGCTTGATCTCACTCAGGTTTGGAGCTCAAATTTATATTCTTCCACTATTCAGAAAACAACATGAGAAATTAAAATTGTCCTAAATTGGTAGTACCTCCTGGCACCTGGAAGAAATTAACACAAATCTGTAGGGCAAGATTCCCAATTTTTGATCCTCAGAGTTGCCACAAATCAATCTCAACCAAGTATGAGTGTACACACACACACACACACACACACACACACACACACACACACACACAGTGAAAGGAAACAGGCAATCATAGCAAAGAGTTAGAAAACAGCAACAGTTGTGGGCCCCCACATACTTCAAATATTAAAATTAGTGAGACAAAATGTTCAATAAATATTAGTGGAATATTAATGGAATTCTTTTTTTTATTTTTGGGGTTTTATTTTTTTGCTTTTTTAAGAGATAGGATCTCACTCTGTCATCTGGGCTTGAGTAATGGAATTCTTAAAGACATAAAAAGATGGAAGCAAAAAAAGAACAGGGATAACAGACCGTATTAATTAATAGACACATTTGAAAAAGAACAAAGTATTATTTTTATAAATAACAGGCATAATCAATAAAACAAGACTCATTGAATGAGATTAGGCATAAAGAGAGAATTATTGAATGTGAAGATAAAACCAAATGAATTGCCCAGAATGCAAAACATTTTGTAACAAAGAATAATAATTATTATAAAAAGAGGTAAGAGATGTGAGGATAAAATTAGAAAATCTAAGATTTATCTAATTCAGATCTAAAGGAATTGAATAGGAAGAATAAGGAAAAAGCAAGATTTATTATGTTCAAAATTTTTAAGAAGTGTTGGAAAGATGCATATGATAATACGTGCAAACTAGATCCACAGATACATATGAACCAATGGATAGATACAGGAAGCATAGCAATGTCAAGTAAGATACTTAAAAAAGAAATCTATGATCAGACACACGATAATGAAAATCACAAACACCAAAGACAAAGAGGTGACTTGAAATCGCCTTATGGAGGTGGGGGTGGGTTGGTGGGAGCACCTTCAGAAGCAGAGCAGGTGCACTGCCAGCTTCTCAGCGGCAAGCCAGGGGCCAGCGGACAAGAGTACAGAGACCTGCACGCTGAAGTGTCTGAAACGGGCTCTTCAGCAAGAAGGGGTAAAAGAGTCGGGACTTAGCATTTCAAATATCCACGGTGTAAACACCTCCAATTCATCCAATTCCAAGCCATCACCAAGATACGATTGGATGCTGAGGCGGGGAGAGGTGTTTAACCAGCTCTTATGAGCCAATGCCGGGGACCCCATCACACCCCTGAATAATTCCCCAGTATCCGAGGGAAAATATCTTTCAATAATGAATTGTATGTCTAGCAAAATTATCTTCCAAGATTAAAGGTAAAATAAAAAACCTTTTCAAAGATAAAATGTCTACAATTAAGAGACCCTTACACAGAAAAATTCAAAAGGATTTAGTTTATAAAGAAGGAAGTAAAATTTGGCAAACAGCAGAAAGGTCTGAGATAAAGGAAGGAACGAGGAACAAATAAACTAGTGGCTAGGTTTCTGGATTTGCATTATGTTCTGGAAATTATATACCCTTTATGAATCTAGGAGGCTGTAGCAGGATTCATTTTCCTGCCTTTTCATCTCTTTCTACTGGCAAGCAAAGTCATGGCAGCATGAAACATTCTCTGCAACCATATTTTCAGAAGTTTCCTCCTGCCTCTGTGGAGTGACATGCAGTTCTGGGGCCACGGTGGCTCCTGGACGCTAGTCTGGAATAAGTGGGCAGTGGGTCCCCATTAATCATCTTGGGGAGTCAGTCCAAGAGACCCTAACAGGAACCCATGCCATAAGTGCTGCAACATTTTTTAAGTAACTAATTTATTATGTTGAATATAGTCCTGTTTCAAATGCCTAGAATTATTAATATTTTCTATACCGTACTGTGACTGAGTTAGAAAGAACATGATAAAATTGCAGGAAAAGTTGGATATATAGAAAGTAAGGTGGCAGAAACAAATCCAACTATACAAGTAGCCCCCAAATGTAAAAGGACTTACATTTGCCAATATAAAAAAAAACAGATCGCTAGGTTGGGTATAACAATCAAAATTCAGTTGTATATTCTTCATAAGAATATAAGGCTTAAAGAAAAGAAATGATTGAAAGAAAAAAGATTCAGAAAGATAGACCAGGCAAATACTAAACTAAGAAAAACTGTAATAGCTACATTAATAATAGGCAAAATAGATTTAAGTACAAAAAGACTATTATAATTTTAAAAGATCACTTAAGCATGATAAAATGTTCAATTCAACAAGCATATATAAAAATATCAATCTTGCATGCACCAAATAAATACCCTCATCATATGTAAAGTTAAAATTCACAGAGCTTCCAGTAGAAAAAAAAAAATTCACTTTTATAGTAGGAGATTTCAATCCTCTATAAATTGTTGATGAATTATTGGGTTTCTCAAATCCTCATTCTCTTTACCTCATTTCTTTAAGTAAAAATTAAGTAAATACAAGTAAAATATTAAGTAAAATTTAATAAATAAATTCTTTTAAATTAAGTAAAAATTTAATGATTTTTATTTATTTAATTAATTTACCTTTCACAAACTTCTATAAAGTAGATTTAAAATAAATGTAAGTCCCCATTCCTGCCACACACACATCTTAGCATTTCTGGAATCAGAAAGCTTCATTCCGGATGTATATTATGGGAGTGAAAGGCTCTAGATTGGAATCACTAAACACCCCGATGAAAATTACTTATTTATTTATTTTGACAAAACCCAGTGGAAAGAAAGGAACTAGAACAACATACCTGTGACTTTGCCCAGGGTGAGTGACCTTATGACTCTGAACTCCACTTCCGGGGAGAAGTTATAACTGAGCCGCAGTTGCCGATCCACCTGCAGGAGGACAGAACACAAAGGCACCTCAGCAGCTCTGTCTGGGTAAGAGGCACAAAACACTGTCATCTGGAAACAGCTGGGAAAAGCACAGAGAGAGTAGACCCCTCTCTGGGATTTTCTCTCAGGAGAGATTAGAAGTGTCTTGCTAATTTCTCCCACAATGCACATAAAATAGCCCTTTTTTCTTCTTTGTGAAATAAGGGCTTTCACACAAGTCTTCTCCCTGGGAAATTCTATACAGCTTTTTACAGGTATTTATCTCCCTGCTGAGATTTTCTCACCAAATTCTTTGCTGCAAACAAGGAAACAAATGAGCCCTGCTCAGGAACTGCTGTGCAGGATGAACCTTAATGGAAGGCAGGCAGTCATTTCCCATTCCGCTCCCTTGCCCCCCCTTTGCACTTAGGGCCACCACTGGCCCCTCGGTTCCATTATTTTGACCTGGTCTCATTCAGGTGTGGGCAGAGAGATTTTTCTGGGCAGGGATTGCAGTTTGACAAAACAGTGGGTCCTGGGGAGGAGAACTAGCTGGACAGTAGCCACCAACATGCACAGCTGATAGCCCACCTTGGGGGGGGGCGGGGGAGGGAGGAGCAAGGCCACCCACTGGGGTTCACTGGGACTTTATTTGTTTCTATGATCATCCTGTAGGGGCCCTCCTTGCCTTGACCATTGCGAAGGCCATCTCCATCTGTTCGGTCCCCTCCTCCTCACTGGTAGACAGAACTCCCCATCCATCCCCACTTTTTTCAGTCTAGTCAAATGCTATGGGTTCCTACCAGGCTCTACTCTGAATATCCATATGATATTATCCCTGGAAAGAACCCTCACTACCTCACAGTTCACCTGTAAGAACAGGAGGCTAAGACTCCTTTGTCTGTGTGCCTGACTTGGCACAGCCCGGGAGCAGCCGGTCTGCCGGGCACTCACCTAGTCCTTCCCTCTCACCGCGGTGCCCTTCCTGTCTGCTCACACTGACCTCCTCCAGGAACCTCCTGGTGCTGCAGTGGTTTCTCCTGCTACAGAAGACAGTGTCTCCTCTGACATCAACTATGACCTGTGGTGAGTGGCTGTGTGCTTTGTTACTATTGCATGTATGACATTGCACTGTCATAATATTTGCTATTTATTGAACACTGGGTATGTATGAGACATGACACTAATCCATCCTTAAAAATCTGTTCTTCCCTAGAATACTATGAAATAGATATGATTGTCCCTGTATTACAAATGGGGAGACTGATGCCACAGCAGCTTGGCCACACAGTGTCACAAGAGCAGTGTCCCACCTGCCACACAACATGGCATCTGTTTTGCTTGTCATACCTGCCTAGACATTTAAGCAGCATGTAGATAAACACAGTGTCTTTATTTCTGAATGTCTAGCATACTCTACTCACTCAACCAACATCGAGTTTCTCCTGGGTGCCAGATACTGTGCCACGTGCCCCTGCAGGAAGCTGTCCTTGCTGCCCTGGGCAGATTCGTTCACCCTCTTCTCTTTCTCATCATTCTTTTTCCTGCCTCTACCCCTGCACTTGTGATACCGCATTCTAATGACCTGCTTTCCTTTCTCTCTCTTCCTCGGCTTTATCTCCACTAAACTATTGGTTCTGCGAGGGCTCAAGTCACTTCTTATTCGTATATGTTTTCTACAGAGCACTACCACAGAAACTGGCAACGTTTGCTGAGTAAATAAACTAAGATCCTCTATTGTTTCCCCGTCTATCTGATGAGCTATAAAGACAGAATCACTCATAACCCTGGGATATCTCTGGTGGCCCTGACACCTTCAGTACAACATACGGTTTTTGGTGCTCTTGGTTCCCATGCAATAGTCTATTTAATGCTCATGAGTTCAGATCAGCCCCTGCCCCGAAGGAGTTTCCTTCCTGTCCTACCACGGGGCTCTCACCTGCCCCCTTCCACTCTCTCTCTCAAACTGTCCCTTCCAGCAGGGTCACGCTCTGTGGCCCAGGTAGGAGAAGGGGAGAGAGTGGGTGGGAATTTCCTGCCAGGCGAGAGCAGTAGCAGGAGTCACAGAGATGGAGGTTGAGTGAGGTGCCCCGAGCTTCCACTGCCCACCCGTCCTGAGCCTGCACAGGGCCAGCTTCCATCTGCAAGTGATCCTGATCATTGGCAGACCTAGATTCAGATGCTGCACACCGAGGAGCTGTCAACGACATGAGTCATTTGTATCCAACAGTTTGCTTTGTGAGAACTAGCCTCTCCTTAGCACTTTAATCCGATGACTAAGGAAGGAGAGAAGAAAGTAAGTGACATTCAAAGTGGTTTTTAGCAAAACTAGTGTTTTCAAAGGTTGGGAAAGAAAGGTGCGATGACTCAAAGGAAATGAGGCTTTTGATGGGCTGTGGATGGCTTAGGGAATGGGTCTGAGCCCTCGCTGGGAGGCCGGGCCCCTGCACACTAGTGCTGGTTCAGATGCTGCGTTAGCTGTTTGCAGAGCTAATCAAATGCATAGGGAAAAGCAAAATAAAAGGGGGGAGGGTAGCACAAGTATTTTTTTAGGACTTTATTAACTATGATATGAGCTACACAATCATTGAAGTATTAATGGTAGGAAATTCATTATTCTGTTAGATTTCCTTATGCCTATTTTATAGTTTATTATTGCTTTCATATTTAATTACAATTATTAGGGTGATAAAGGGTGAAGCATCCTATCTTTTAAATATTTTGGATATCTCGAGTTACACAATCTGGTCTTGAGAAACTTTGCCAATCTCAACAGCTGGAACACACAGCGACTTGCTATGCCATTGAGTAGATTGAAAAAGGGAGGAAAACGCAACAATCTGCTTTGAGTAACCCCTAGATGACAGGCTTCCTGCTTGGTCCTTTAGCTGCATTCTTCCATATAATCTTTACAAGAACTGACTGAGCTTAATTGTGTTCCTCTTTTCATGAATAGATAAATAGGCAGAGATAGAGACAGAGCTATAGATACCTAAGTAGACTGAGGCACAGAAAGGCCAGTGACCTAAGATCACATAGAGAGTGAACTCACATCCAACTCTATCTCCCCTAAGGAGTACCCCGTCTCAGCTTCAGAATCTTTATCTCTCCAAGAAAGGAATTAAGTAGTTGGTTTCAAAAATACCTAGCCCCTGCTTCTTTACAGCTTAGCTTCGTTTGTGCTGGCATTTGGTTAAACTGGCTTAATCTGTGTAATACCATCAATGCATTTAAAATAAGGTCACTGAAGTTCACCCCCATCACCAGGGCATTTTGGGGGACACTTGAGCCTTAAAAAATAGTAACCAAATTCAAATTCTTAATCATCGCCAAGAGTTCTTGCTCCTGGCCACAGGCCCAGGCCCCAAGGTCTCCAGCCCGTGGTCACAGACAGAGGGGAGGAGCCACCACGCAGGCCGGGATGCGAGGGAGCATTTGTTCTTATGGACTGCACTGTGGCTGCTGAACATGGCGTGACTCCTGCCCTCTACCGACAGTCCTGAGCAGTGCCTGGTGCTCTGCCCCAGCCCCAGGGCCTACGGAGGGAGGGTACAGCAGTAGCCGGCGCCTGTCTGTTTTCATGGAACAGCTTGTTCTAGGGGGAGAAGGAGGAAGAAAACTAGATTGGGTGAGGAGGGTGGGAGTGTCAGGGAGGCAAATATTAATAATGTTATTGTGTCAATAAACTAATCTAAAGCTAAACAAAAAGTCATTACCTCTAGATCTTTCTGCTCCCTTCAGCACTTTGGAAATAGTATGTTCTCAACCAATCCGCGCTAATCATTGACTAGAAATTGATTGGGGAAAATTCTCTAGATGGAGAAGAAAAGGAAATACCTCTCACTGTCTCATTTGTATTTCATCAGTAGGAAAGAAGATAGCACATATAAAAAGGATGGAAAGGAGGGCCATATGTACAAATGCCCACAAGAACCGCCCCCAGGTCCTCCACTGGGACCTCAGTCAAAACATATTCAAACACAAAGTCATTGTTCCCATTCTTTTCATCCCTCAATTTGGCTCAGCCCAAACTTGCTCTGAAGACTGTCCCATCACTTATTTCAGGGGTAAATGCTAAAGGTAAGCCCATTAAATTTGATTAGTCAAGAATTATGTATACCATATATGCGCCAGTTGTTCCTGAACTTCCATCCAATTGGGCCATCTAATAGCCAATCTTGACTTCTATATTCCGTATCACCCAGTAGCACTGTCGCTCCATGGCATCTCTCAAACCCTCTCTCCATGGCTGCATGCACTGCACTCGCCGGGCTCGGCCCATCATGTCCCGCCTGGCCTCTGTCTTATGTCTCATCACTCCCAGACATGTCCTCCCACGATCTGATCGCAGGGAGCCCCTGACAGTGAAGTTCAGCCATGCTGCTCCCCGGCCTGAAATCCAACAGTTTTCCGTCCCCTCTCCACAAGGTCAATTTGATCTTCTCCCCAGAGAACTGGAAGCCCCGTGACACTCATTCATTTATTATAGTTCGTAAATATTTATTAAGCACCTCTAGTAATTTAGCCACTTGCTGACAAAGAGGGGTTTCATAGTGATGAAAACAGATACAGATCCTTATTCTCATGCAACTTGCATTCTAGAGTAGGGAGATAGGACAGCAAATTTGATAAATAAGTAAATTGTATGGTATGTTAATTGCTAAGGAAAAAAATAAAGCAGGCAAGAATGACAAGGAGTGCAGTGTTAAAGTGAAGGAGATAAGTTCCTGGATTACAGAAGGTGATCAGAGATGGCCTCACTGAGAATGACATTTTGAGTCACTTGAGACCTGAAGGGAATATGAGAACTGGGCATGCAGGCAGTTGGAGAATGGCATTCTAGACAAAGCAAGCAGTGAGTTCATGGGTTCTCGAAATAGCAGGGAGGCCAGAGTGGCCTGAGGGGAGTTCTAGAGGGAATGGTAACAGATGAGGTTAGAGAAGTAACCAGAAAGGGAGCAAGGATGTCATATCATCATGATCCTTACAAGGATCTGCAAAGTCTTTGGCTTTTTCTCTGCATGAGAAGGGAGACCATTGACAGGGTGTGGACAGAAGAGTACCAGGATCTGACTATTTCTTCAACAGGATCACTCTGGCCTGCTGTGCTGAGAATAGACAACTAAGGAACAAAAAGAGGAGCAGGAATGTGTCAATCAAGAACCAACTGTAAATGGTAACAATCCAAGCAAAGGACAAGGGTGGCCTGGGGCAACACAGAAGCTGCTCATCCACAGTATGTCATATGCAAGAGAAAGAGAGATAAAAACCAAACAACTGGAAGAATGGAGCTGTTTTGGCAGAAGAGCAGAAGGTTTTGGCAGATGGGTGGTTGTTTGGGGGAAATTCTCAGTAATCAGTTTTAATTATGTATTTAAATATTCAAGATGTCTCATAGACATTTAAGCAGATATGTCAAGTGGGCAATTAGATATAAGGCCTGGACTTCACATTCATCAGCATATACATGGTATTTAAAAACATGAGATTGAGTAAGACCAGCCACAGAATGAGTATAAATACCAAGAAAAGGAATCTCAGGATGGAGTTCTGGGGGACTGTGTTGGGGCATGTTTGAGAGATGAGAGGGCACCATAAAAAGAGACAAGAATGAGCAACTCACAGAGGCAGAGGGATCAGCATGCAAGAGTGCTATCTTATTTGCAAGTCTCAAAATCAGAGAGCAATCACTGTGCCAATTGCTATTGCCAAGACAGGTAAAGATAAGACTCAGACATCACTATCAGATTTTGCAAGATAAGGACATTGATGCCTTCAGAAGTACAATTTTGTGGCAGTACAGACACAAAGCCATGTTGGTGTGGGTTTAAGAAAAGGAAGTGGACATTTGAAGACCAAGTATTAATATATAAACATTTCCAAGGATTTGGTCAATCAAATGAGAGAGACAATAGGACAGGTAAAAAGAAGTCAGGTGAGAGATAGGTGCTCCACCTTGACCCAGAGAGTTTTTGTTTGTTTTGCTTTGTTTTCTTATTGTTGAATATTTGTTTTTAGTGCATGTAATAATTGCTTGTTTTGTGTGTTGAGGAGTCATCCAATAGAGCTGGAAAAATGGTGAAACAGGAGAGAGAAGGGAGAATGCTGGAGTGAGGTTCTCGAGTAGAGTACGAGTATCAGACCTTGGCTAGAACCATCAACTATTCATATTTGGCAACAGGAGGGAGATAAAATACAAAGACACAGATGTTGGCAGGGGAGTAATGTGCTGTTGAGAGTATACAGATGTTCTCTTCTGGATGCTACAGTTTTTACAAAAAAGAAAGCAAAGTCATTGACTGAGTGTGAAGACAAAGTTGCAATCGTTGGCAGCATCAGGAGAGAGGAAGAAGCATAAAATGGTCATCTAGGAGAACAGGAGAGTGGACGGGTTAAAAAATAGAGGGTGATCTAAGGGTTGGGCAGATCTAAGGGCTCCCCTGTGGTCATGATTCTAAGGGGATGATCTGGACTCTGCCTATCCTGTCGTGGGATCTGCCATCGCCTGCTGATTGTCCTCTGTCCAGAGACCACCGAGATTTCAGGGAGTGTCGACCACACATTGTGCTCTTTCAGAGCTGAGCCTATGCTCACATGGACCCTCTCTCCCCCCATCTCCCTTCTTCACCTAGTCACCCTCTACTCATCTTCAAGACTTAATTTACTCCTAATTTCCTCTGGGAAGCAAATTCCTCACTTTAATCCAGTTCAACGGTTATGAAACTTGAGCAGACTTTAGAACCTCCTGTTGCTTTCCCTTCTCCAACAGTTTCCATCGAGTAGATCTGGTGTGGACCTGAGAATGTGCATGTCTATCGAGGGCGTCAGTGGCACTGATGCTGCGGGAAATGGGAGCACATCTTGAGAACCACCATCTACTTCTTCCCAGGCTGGGGATAACTGTGAGCACTTGGCTCTATCCTTGGCGGGGGGCGGGGGGAGAAGCTCAGGAAAGTTGGATTGAGCAGCCAAGGTCCATTGGTTGAGTTTGAGAAAAAGAAAAGTCAGGCACCTGAATGGTAAATTCTCTCCCTTCTCGGTTAATCTTCACGTGGTGCATCCTTCTGTTGGCAAAGTTCTCTACATCAATGGTGAATACATGGGTTTCTTCCTTGCTTAGCTGATAGCGAACCTGTAAGCTTCCTTGAAAGAAAAATATTTGAAATTAGGATCAAACATGGTAGTAATAAAATGCAAAGTATGATTAGATTGTCTTTTAATTAATGTCTGCTGCTTTATAGCAACCCATGTCTCCATGCTTCCATCATTCAAATCTTTAAAATATATTACATATGTTCATTAGAGTCCATACAGAAATTTCTAAATAGAGCTGCAAAGTGAGAGAGAGAGAGAGAGAGAGAGAATGGTGTTATCTGAAACCAGAATACCAGTTAAAAAATAAAGTATCTATTTTGTAATTGGATTGTGAAACTTTAATAAGATAGAGTTAAGATCTGCACTCTTTTGTCAATTCCTACCACTTTCTATAACTCTCTTTTTTTCCTAATTGCTGTCTCCTTTTTAGATCTAAAGAAGAAAAGGAGAACCTGGTCCTGTTATCACCCCTGGTGTGTGACACCCCTGATTAGCGCATGGTGTCGTGAGGCACAGTGACTCACTTTAACCCTTTATAGACCATTGGAATATTCACATTGCATTAGGATAGTGTTTGTCAAATAGCTGTTTGCTATCTCTTGCAGGTCGGGACATCAATTTACTGGGTCTCAATCAGCATTTCTTATACAATGGGACAGAACCGAAAAAGAAATGTGAGAATCCCAGGAGAAATATTAAGGATAGAAGCATATCAGTTGTGTGTGTGTCTGTGTGTGTGTGTGTGTGTGTGTAAGAAATAGAGAGAGAAGGAGAATATCAGATCATAATGACAATGCAAAATGTTTGCTCAAGAGAGCTGTTAAAGGGTACAAAATACAGCTGGACAGGAGGAATGAGCATCAGTTTCTATACCACTGCAAGATGATTACAGTTAATAATGTATCATATAGTTTCCAGAAGCTAGAAGGATGATTTTGAATGTTTCCAACACAAAGAAATGATAAATACTTGAGATGATAGATATGCTAACTACCTTGATCTGATCACCATAAATTACGTTCTGAAGCATCACAACATACTGCATGAATACCTAAAATTAGTATTTGTCAATTAAAAAAATCTAAGATTTGAAAGCCACCCTACATAAGAAAATTGCCATAGGGACCAATCATTTATTGAGCGGCTACTTTATCTCAGGCACTGTGACAGGCACTTTTTCTCACTTAATCCTCTCCCAGCATCTCTGGCTGAGAGGATGGCATGGAGTAGCCCACGTGCACACGCTTGCCATCTTTTCCCTCCTGTGGTGGCCATCTGATCACCGCAGTCCATGTGCACCAAAAAGCTCTTGCCCAGGTCAAGTATCAGGATGGCACACAGTGGGATTACGGGCAGTGTCATAGCAGATGGGCAGTAGGGAGAAAGGGACATTCATTTAAATTTGAGCCAAGAAACACTAGGGTGACTCTGTCCCAGCCCCTCAGTGTTTCTCATGCTAAACAAAACAAATCCTGACCTTCCTCGGCCTGCCCATGGCTCACAGGCCACCAATCCCAGGCAGACAAGGGGTTTCTGAGGAACCGACAGGTCCATGTCTTATTCCGTCCTCACCCAAGTATTTAAATTCTTTTTTTAAAAGACTATTTGTTTTAAAAGTAAATTGCTACTCACGGAATTTCGGAATGCATGAGTGTGCAATAAGATTGAAAATAATCTAAGGCAGAGCAGGAAACAGTAGTCGGGCCGCGAGGTTGTCACCAGCGCTGCCAGCCGCGGGCGCTCTCTGCAGCGATCCCGGCTTTCTCTGCCGTCGCTTCTGACCATTACAGACTCCCAAATGTTACCATTTGTGTTGCCTTATCACTTAAAAATGGATCCCCGCCCCTGGCAGCAGGCGTGTGGGGCGCTGCGCGCAGACAGGGCGAGGCCCGCGGGCATGCTGGGCTGCCGGGAGCTGGCTCCTCTGGCTTCTAATCCTAAGAATCCGGGTGTTTCATACTCACTCGGCGCAATAAGGTAAACCAGCGTGTGATGATTATGTGCCAGGCAGGGTGACAAACGCCACATTCCCCACGGCTCTAGGACTCTCCCTCCCTCACCGTGTGGGAGACTCGCGCGCACGTTCTTCGCGCACTTTTCCCTTTCAGACACCACGTCGACTCTGCGTCCTCACTGTGTCTACCTGGTAGCCACCCCTCCGGGAACCCGCAACCCACCCAGGCCCTGTCTGCTCCAAGTTTGGGGGGACACCTCAGCGCGCCCTCGGGAGCCGCACCCAGATTCGCCCCGGCCGCGGAGCTTTGATGCGGCGGTGCCTGTCGCGTCCTGACGAGGGATCCCCAAACCCGCACCAACTCGTCCTCGCACGAACCCTGGGAGGAGCATGCGACTTCTCAGAATAAACTTGTCACCACAGGGCTGATTTCCAGTCCTCCATGAGGCACGGGGGTGAGCTGGAGAAGGGCCGGGCCGGCCGGTCGCTAACCCTTTACCCGCAGCTGCGCCCTCCGCGGCCACCCCTGCCCACGGTTCAGTGGCTCACCCGCCTCCAGCTGGGCTCTGCTCGCTCGTCTCTGCAGGCCCCCCGGGACCAGGGCTGTTCCCATCCTCAGACCCTCCTGTGCCGCCCCTGTGTGCTTGGTCTGCGCTCATCCATTCCCTCCTGAGAGCTCCCTCCCGCCTGCCACTGCGCCCACCACAGCGGGCGCCGCGTGCAGCCCCACAGACCTGAGCCGCAGGGCGAGGTGCTCTCCAGAAGTCCAGTAAATCAGAACACGGACGCACTGTTTTGGCCAGGGGTGCACTGCGACTTCTCTAACACACTGAAATGCATTTCTTTCCTATTTGGTCTCATTTTTTTTTTTTTGGTCTGTGTATATATTAGCATTGCTACAATATAAAGAGCACACCTCATTTTGTGTGAGTGTAAAGACAAAGATAAGATTTTCACAATGTGGAAATTAAAAATAAAACTGATTTGAGCCTTAGTTAGGCCCTCTTTTCCAAGTCTGCTCCTGAAATAAATATATTTATAATGGAACAACATTTTGTCACAAGCAAGTACCCTGTAAAAGTTTTAAGGTGTCTTATTAATGTGGGAGCACTCAAGTTATACCTAGCTGCTTCTTTTATAATATCTTCAGGCAAAATCCGTGTCATGATTTTTAGAATTAAACAACAAGTATTATCAATGCTGCTTAAAAACAAATGGATAAGCTATATTTTTAAAAAGTGTTTAAACAGACTAATAAGTAATCTTCCTCAAAGAGGAGGTGTCACACCCTGATGGACTTGCTGGTCCCCATCTGGACAGAACTGCACTCCCGGGCTTAGCATGCAAATCTCACAAGGACCGAGTTCCTGCTCATTACTCCACTTGCATCTGGAATGGTTCTTTTCTTTAATCTTCTCAATTTTACAGGTGAAGAAACAGCTGCTAGAAAGTGAATAACTTTACATTGTTCTTATAAAGTGATGGAGTCAAATTAAGAAACGAAATCCAGCTGGTTCTAAAGAGCCCACAATGGCCCATTAGGACCATCTTTGTCCAAAGGCCCTTCCATGACAACCCTTCTCATCCTTCAGAATTCAATGTAAGCCCACCCTGGCCTCGGCGAGGTGCCCTCTGCTGCTCCCGTAGGCCCTTCCATCACCTTTATCCTAGCAGGTGCTGTGTTGCACCATCTGTCTACCTGCCTCTCATATCACACAGGAGCTGGTAACTCCTTGGGGGTAGGGACATATCTTATCCATCCTTGGGTTCCCAGTCTGTGCCCATGGTAAGTCCTCAGTAAATTTGGAAGGAAGGAAGGAAGGAAGGAAGGAAGGAAGGAAGCAAGGAAGGAAGGAAGGGAGGGAGGGAGGGAGGGAGGGAAATAATTCAGTGGGGCTTAGAAGTTTTTCATATATAAAGCAGTGACATCTCTGAAACAGCACAACTCTAAGTGGCACTTATTTTCAGTATGTCCAGGAACCAATTGCTCTGAGATGCTGCCTCTCCCTCATGCTTACTGGCTTGAGTTGGGTGTACATCTGCCTGGAAAATCCCAAGGATAACACGCCAGAGGAACTCAATAATTCTCACTGGCCCTTATGGAGCTGAGCAGTATCTGCCTGGTTTAGCCTCTTTCTCGCCTGTGTCTAAGGCTGTAATGTTTCAGGAAATTCATTCAGGTTTGTATACCCATGAACCTCCTAGAACCTTCTGCCTCCTGCCCATGTTTAGGATTCCAGCTCTTCTCCATGCATTTGGATTTGCCTTATATGCCTAATGCAATGGTTTTCAAATTCATTTCAAATTGAAACACTTTATTCAGATGATATCTACAGGGAAGGCTCCTACAGACACAGAAAATTGTGGAGCTGCTCCAGGCGAAATGTAGTGGGGCCTAGAGAGATTCTCCTGCAGCCATTGCCCTGTCCTCTTACCCACCCTCGCCCACAGCCTCAACAGAACTCCTTGGTCTCCCAGGAGCACAGTGGAAAACACTTGCTTCTTCAGAGAATAAGCTCAGTCTACTGGGATTTGGTCCATCTCCCCTCGATGGCTTCTCGTATCGTGCATTTGGGCCATGTGAGCCACAGTCCAAAATACAGCCCTCCTGGCTCTGGACTCCAGGTGAGGCCTGACAAGCTTCCCACGGAGTTCAGCTAAGCGTTAAGTTGATCAATGTCTGATTTTCTGTGCATATCTAGGTAGACATAACTGGCTCAGGAAAAAGCCTCATAGGTTAAAAAGAAACTATGCTTGTATCTCAGTGGTCCAAAAACATTACTTTTTGTTTATTTCACCTTTTCCCACTTTGCTAGTGTTCCTACTCTACTCTGTTTTCCACACTGCCATTACTGTGAATATCGTAACACTCTATTTGGTCATGTGACTCTAGTGCCTAAAAGATTCCAAGACTTCCTAATTCTACATGATAAATTACAACTTCTTAAGCTGACATTCAAGGCCTTTTTCTTTCCTTGCCAACTTTATCACATGTATATTGTTCATATCTTAAATCACACCCAAACACCCAGCATCAACCCAAATAATGCCTGTTCTTACCTTGGTAATGTTGGCATGTTTTTGTTTTGTTTCA